ATCTAAAGAAATTTTTTATATTCTAAAATCACTTTGCACTCTGAAAGATTCCACCCCTCCTCATCTCCTCAAAAATCTTTTCATGGGGGCTGGGGTCGTGGCTCTGTGGTAGAGCACTCGCCTAGCATGCACGAGGCACTGGGTTTGATCCTCAGCACCACATAAAAGTAAAATAAAGATATTGTGTCCACCTAAAACTAAAAAATAAACATTAAAAAAATCTTTCATGGAAAAAAAAAGAAAATTTATTTCACTTGTCCCTCTACATTTATATATGTTAGAATTTTCTAAAACACAAAAGTTAAAATAAAGATATGACTTTTAAAAAATTAAAAAAATAGTTTGCTACCAAGTTGTATCCCTTAGCAGACCAGACCCAATCTTTTTTCCCTGAAGTGTTCCAAGATAGACCTTGATGTTTAAAAGAAAAATATTTGATAAAATGGCTTGAGTATTTAGAGAAACAGAGCTTAATCCTCCCTTAGGTGTTGATGAACCCAGCCTAATTCTATTTTAAAATTGGGTGCCATCTCGTCACAAAGTCATGAAAAGTTCATTTCTGTTTTACTATAAATTACTGAGATTTCTAAACTTGTTTGGAATTCCTCCCTATGCTCTGAACTCACCCATGCCTGGGTCTACTTGACCAGATAACAATCCTCGCTGAAACCTCAGCAGCACCTCATAAATTCTGATGTTGGGATCTGAATTTACTCCCTACCTTGAAATATCATGGCATGAGGATCATTAATCTGCTCTCTGCCCTTGTGTTATGATTGCCAAAACCCTGTTAGCTGTAAGTTCCCAAGACACCCCCCTTTGTAATTTTTTGTGCTATATAAACCTTCTCTGAGAGCTGGGCTGATCTCTAGCCCGGTTTTGGGAGAGACCATCGCTGGTGGCCAGCTTTCCTTGTATTCACAATACAAGCTTGCCTTTCATTGATTTAAAAGACCAGTGGTCTTTTCTTTGCATCGTGGTTCAACAGGTGTGTTACAAAGCTATTCAAAAAGTAACTCAATAAGGCTTGAATGGAAATATTAGTATCCAAGTCAACATTCTGCTTTAAAGAGTAATAAATGCAGACGAGTTAAAAAACCAAATAATAATAATAATAATTAAATACATAAAACAACAACAACAACAAAAAAGACAACCTGGGAACCGGTGGTTTCAGGAAGCCTGCAGCCACCCTAAGCATCAGGTCAGTGCTTGCTACAGCAGAGTTAGTCGCACTGTCTGGCGGTTCCTAGTGTTTGGTCCTTGCCTGAAATGGTGGGAGGAGAAGAGGGCCGTGCTGTGTTACAATAGGGGCTGTGGCCAGCACTTTGACCCTGAAAACAATTCGGGCGATGCTTGCACATATCACCCAGGTGTTCCAGTCTTTAATGATGCATTAAAGGGTTGGACTTGCTGTAAAAGAACAACTGATTTTTCTGATTTCTTAAGCATCATGGGCTGTACAAAAGGTAGACATAATAGCGAGAAGCCACCTGAGCCAGTCAAGCCTGAAGTCAAGACTACTGAAAAGAAAGAACTATCTGAATTGAAACTCAAATTTCAGGAGCCCATAATTCAAGCCCCTAAACCAATAGAAGTGATAAAAAGGCCAAGCTCAGTGAACCAATGACATATTTGGTTTAAAATATGTCATTTAAAAAATCTGCAAAACAAGCACTTGATAAACTTAAAAAATCCCTAAAACAAGCACTTGATAAATTATGGTCTGGGAATGAAAGAAGATAAGAAARAAGATGACAGTGATGAAATTAAGATTGGGACCTCATGTAAAAATGGAGGGTGTCCAAAGATATATCAGGTCTACGGAGTCTAGAAGAAGTCTGTGTAGATCATTCTGGAGGAATGATATTTTCCATGAGGGGATGAAATATTGGAGCAGTTGTAGAAGGAACACCTCTGATTTTAAAGCAGTCTTAGCCTAAGAAGGCTATATGTAAAACAGGGAAACACAGGTGGACTAGGGTGTTGGGAAAACAGTTGTTCCATGTAGACACCATGCATCAGACTGGGGGTGAAGTCACCACTGCAGTATATGCTAAAAATTCACTTCCAGAACTTAGTGGAGTAGAAGCTCATAGTACATCGTTAAATGTACACATTGTATTTGAAGGAGAGAAGGAATTTCATCAAAATTTCAAAGTATAGGGTGTGACTGATGTAAAACAGAGCTATGCAACTATGACTGCAACGAAGATTGAAATCAGAAAAGCTTGAGATTGAGACTGAGATGAGAAAAGCTGAACCTAAGCAGCTGGCAAGCCTTGAACTGTCTACAACCAAAAAGCAGGAAAAAAAACAGTAAAAAGAAGATATCACGATTGAGTTTGAGGGAGGGCTGTTGCCTCTTTCAGAATTCTGTGTAGTGAAGTGGTGGCTTGCAGCTGTAACTTTTTGTTGCTGAATCAGGCATTTCAGGGTCACATTAGGTTTCTGTTTTTAAAAGCCAAAGTCAGTTTATCTTTTTGTGTTCCATAAGACWGATTATTCCTATCTCCTCATTGGTAGAACCATAGTTGTGTCCCTTACTTGAAGAAGCCAGAAAATAGCTCCAGTGTAATTACTGTATTTCTTAGTGTATTATTATTATAATAAGGGACATTTTTTTATATTTCTGTTATCCAATAATTAGTAAAGCAAGATGAAAATGTCAAATTTTTAACCAGTTTTTTTTAATGGACTTTTTTGTTCCTATAATACCTGAAAATCTTCAAGGAAGAAATAAAGCTCTTCGTTTTTT